GTGTGTATGTAGGCGTTTTGTGTGTGTGTGTGTGCGTGTGTTTGTGTGTGTGTGTGCGTGTGTGTGTGTATTTTAATACATGTGTAATGAAGACTATGCTAGTAAGACTTCGACAAAGGTGTCATTTATTTTTCTATTTTGACAAAATTGGGGCCGCCGCGGCCGAGATCCTCATTTTTCTTCATTATATACCAGGGCCCTGTTTCATGAAATTACTAATCAATAAGAAATGCCCTTGTCTTATAACAAATTTCATCACAGCCATTCAAATGCACGGATTTTAGTAGCTTATAATAGGTTTTGTAAACTTCCACCGATACAACATCAAGTTTTATGAAAAGGGGCCAGATAAACCCCCATTTTCGTTCCAATCTTTCCAGATTCTTTTTTGATAGTAATATAGACACATATTTTATCTTGCAATATCATCTTTTCCATTTCTGTTTATAATGCCTATTTTGGAAGCCTACTTTGCTTATTAAAATTCATACTCAATAATTATATTTTTAAAAAGATACCTTGCATGCTTTCCCGTTTAATCTTGATCAGGGCGATGCCTATATATTGCCAGTTATTCTCAAATATCAATTAATATTATTATATTTATATTCTTGAAGGCTATGTTTATTTCAAGCAACTCATGTAATGTAAAGGTTCTAGGATTATACTCCTGCTGAATGTTCAGGGTTGAGGAGATATACATCGTTTGTTCATTGTAGTATTTTTTTTTAATCAAGTTTTAAAATAACTTTCCAATATCCAATCCTAATTAATCTTATCTTCTTTTTATAGTAATCTTTGTTATGTTTTCTGTTATCATGTGCAATATTATATGTATAAAATTATTAATTATGAACTGGGAGTAGCATATGTGGGGGCACATGGCTCCGGGCAACAGTGTTGAACTTCACTTTTGTGCACCCTGACCCACTTGCTGCTCCCATATCTATGTGCATGTTTTTTTTGTAATTCTTCTCATGTACTTGTCTCTTGTCATGCTGTATTGCATTTGTGCTTTGTTATGAATGGTCGAATAAATAATAATAATAATAATAATAATAATAATAATAGAAACGTGTACAGAAGGAATTAATATAATAAATTATTGCTTATCCATTTTGCAAGGGTGTTGACACAATTAGTATTGTGACCTCGGGACCTGCCAAGAGCCCATCAATTCAAAAGACACGCAGCAAACGTCGCCTCGGCCTATGCATCGCCTTGGCCTATAATACCATTATTGTTGGGCCAGTGAACCTTCAGAAAGTAGGTCAGAGTGCTCAAAAGAAGTTTTGCTGTTGGTCTTATATGACGTTGGTCCCATACGCCATTTGTCTCGAGGGCTAGCAATCGGTCTCATATCATTATGGTTGGTTTGTTTATTTTGCCTGACTGCTAAGAAAGTATGCGTATGCTGTAAGTAAACAACCAGGGGACCACTGGCGTACTGGTGGTGGGAGGGGGGGAGGGGGGGAGGGGGAGGAGGTTTGCGCTAGCCCCCCCCCCCCAATAAATTAAACCATGACTTATTTTCAATTCCATACAAGTGATTTATAAATGTTCGTGATATCACATGATTTTCAACAAAATGCGCGTTCCTCCATTTCTGTCGCAAACTGACACATTCCCAAATAGCCAGGAAGAGCATATGTTTTTTATAGTCACTAATGGGCCTTAGTGACCACCAACAGGCTACAGCGACAACCGACAAGCACTGCCGGGAAATAATATGCTACCCACCACTCATGGGTTGTGCATGCACAGTTTTGCGAACGAACGTTCCATACGTACATCATGTAACACTGCACGTGTACCGTTAAGGGGCCCAGTGGGGAAACTGAATTCAAACAAGGATTAAGAGTAGAGAACGGTACAACGAAATGTGATCTTTCTCTAATAATTTATATGAAACGGCATAGCTTCCGCGCTTCGCGCGAGAGCTTTGGCAACTGAATTCAGATTCGGATTAAGAGTCGAGAACGGTACAACGAATCGTCCTCTTTCTCTAATAATTTAATGACACGTGAAAGCTTCCGCGCTACGCGCGGGGTGGGCGAAAATAAAATTCAGACATTAAGAGTAATAATTAAATAAAACGTCAAAGCTTCCGCGCTTCGCACAGGAGGGGGAAGACTGAATTCAGACAGGGACACGATACAACGAACCGTCATCTTTCTCTAACAATTTAACGAAACGTGAAAGCTTTCGCGCTTGGTACGGGATGGGCGAAAATGAATTTACACAAGGATTAAGAGTAATGATTTAATGAAACGTCAAAGCTTCCGCGCTTCACGCAAGAGGGTGGAAGCTGAATTCAGACAAGGACACGATACATCGAATCGTTTTCTTTCTTTAATAATGTAAAGAAACGTGAAACCTTCCGCGCTTGGCGCGGGGTGGGCGAAAATGAATTCAGACAAGGATTAAGAGTCGAGAACGGTCATATGAAGCGTCCTCTTTCTCGAATAATTAAATGAAACGTCATAGTTTCAGCGCTTTGCGCGGGAGGGGCAAAACAAGAATAAGAGTCGAGAACGGTACAACGAATCGTCTTCTTTCTCTAATAATTTACTGAAGTGTCAAAGCTTCTGCGCTTCGCGCGGGAGGGAAAAAACTGAAAAATAACTTAGTTCCTGGCCACGGTTTATAGGGTTAATTTGTAGACATTGGGACATTGGCATTAATATATTTGTCGGTAATTGGTGGCTAGTTTGGTCTGGAATCGATTGCCTATACACCCCCCCCTCCCCCCTCCCCACTTAAAAAGGTCTAGCGACGCCCCTGATAACATCACAGGTTTATTCGCTCGAGATACTTTTTGCAAGTACTGCTGGTGAAGTACCAGACCACCGTCTTTGTGCATTGTGCAGCAACAAATCATATACAACGTCTTACGACGTGACAGATCACTTTTCTCTAACTTCTAACTAAACAGAAGGCCTCGTTTTTTCCATGAAGTGCCGGTGAACATTAATGCGCCAAATGTGGTTCTGAAATTGCAAAAGATCCCTACTCTTGGAGGGGGTAGGAGAAAGCACTTTTATGTCATATTACTCCAGGAAGTGCCTGAAAATGCGTCTAATGTGGTTCTTAAATTGAAAATGCTTCTAAATTGCAGAGAACACCCTCCCAGACCCTCCCCCGCTTCGTCGCTTCGCTACCCTCCCTCGCCGCTAAAGCCTCGCTCCGTCGCTTCATCGTGTTAAATATTTTTCACCCCATGCCATTAAGTGCCCCCCCCCCCGGAACTTCCTGGATCGACCACTGATGCACATACCCCTCGAGCTTCGGAGGCTCCGCCCCTAGACCCCACTTTCAGAAACGTTCAGCGGGGCCTGGATGTCAGGGTGGGGTGATGCGGATTTTTTTCTTCTTCTGCCCCCCTCCAAAAAAAAGGGTTTGCTCATTACGCCACTGCAGGGGACCGACCGCTCTAAGTCCTCTCCGAGGGGACTTGGTAATTGGGATTAATGCCTTACCAAAGGGCTCTAGCGCATCGACTTGGTTTCAAACCCGGGACCTACCGGTTAAGATACCATTGCACTAACACTGAGCAACCAAGCCTCCGTATATCGTCGATCTCATACGGCACCGGCCTTGTGGGTTTGACATACCTGAAGTACTGTGCAGAGGCCTTCCTCCACCGAGATCCACTCCAGAAACTCAAATAATGTTGACTCATCTTCTCGACGATAGAGTAGAACCACTAAACAGTCGATAGCCTCTTGCTTGGCTGCGTACTTCAATAAAGATGGCGAAACTTGTCTTTGTAGCAATACAGGGGGGGGGGGGAAGAAGATGCAGAGGTAAATTTACTATGAAAAAACTAAATAAGGTTTTATGTAATTAGTGGCGTAGGGATACGTTAAAAACAAAAAAAACTTTAAAAAATATATATATATATATGTAAATAGATAGATAAATAAATGATGAGATAAAAACAGAAAAAGAAGCTGAATGTGAAAGAAGAGAAGCCATGATAGAAATAAAGAAAGGGAAAGAGAAAGGGAGAAGGGAAGAACTTATACAAAGGTAACAAGACTTCTCCAAAAGACAAGTGCTCCTTATTTACACGTGTTTTGCTATATGACTTCCAATATAAGTGTATCATAAAATCATTTCTTTTCAGGGGACAATGCTACAGTGTGAGTTTTAAAACAAAATGACACTGCTGTATTAGACCGGTCAACTAACATATCATGGATATTTCCTTCATAGGGACCTAGTGGTGAGTTATTCCATTAACCTATTATTATTAATGAATGAACTACAATACTTGGAATCCAGTCTGCATATATTACTTGTAGCTATTTAATGAAGGGCAAGTCTGGGACAAGCCTTCACGACGTCAAAAACAACATTTGTTTAAAAAGTATGTATACAATTTGAGGCCTATGTTAGTACACCTGTCTTTTGCATATTGCTGTGTTGTCAATTTGCACCCATATTTTGTAACGCTTATTTCGGTAGCTTTTATTCACGGGATGATAAAATTGCGATAAGTGGTCCGTTGAATACCGGTAAACAACCTAAAGCCGCTGTCGCCAAAGTGTTTCATGGGTACCGGTTGGAAGAAATTCCGTGAATGCTGTGAGCACGGACATCGAGAGAGCCTATAGCAGAGGAGCTGGGGTAATATTGAAGCGCATTGAGCACCTTGTTAGTGGATACGTGCGCGATATAAATATATATTATTTGTATTATTTTTTTACCACGACACTTAGGTTGACCTGGGTGCAGCTGATTGAGAAATATCATCCCATGAAATTGGAAGCGCCAATAAATACTTGACAAGCATATATCATACATGGACATATTTACATATCACTCTTAAAAAGACGTATAGGAGTTGGCTCTCATGGAGAATTCGACACCGTTCGGGTGTTTAACCAATAACAAGTGTTGTCTATCAATGACATTAAAAGATTGAGAAAACTTACAAATCATTTTGTTTACCTTTACCAGAACTCAGAGTTCCCTTTCATAGTGTTTATACCTACCTCTCTTGTAACAGGTCACAGACGATTTTAGTCACCTCGGCTTGATTTCTACTGCAGGAAGCGTGTAGCGGCGTGTATCCGCTCTCGCTACGACTCTCAAGGAGCTTAGGACACATTTCAGCAAGCATTTTGACAATACCAACATGTCCGTGTCTGCAGGCAGTGTGCATTAATGTCGATGTGTTCCTTGACCTGACATACAAGAGGTCATCGTAATCATCCGGTTTAGAAACTGAAAGTGATTTGAAGGAAAAAAACACAGTAACGCTGTCGTAGCCGAGCACTTGATTGAAGATAATAATAATAGCTAATAATAGCTCATTCTTATATAGCACTTTTCAGGACCGCAGGACCTCTCAAAGCGCTTTACAGATATATATCATTACCCCGGCTATCGGATTCAGGCTTACCCGCACACAATGTATGCACATTCTCCACTCTCTGGGGATCATTCCAGCCAGGCGTCATTTTTACAAGCGCACACTTGCTAATCTAACCACATTAACTTTCGCATCCTACCGGGTACCCATTTAACACCTGGGTGGAGAGTGGCAAATGTAGATCAATGTCTTGCCAAAGGACATTAGTGCCGTGGCGGGACATGAACCGCGGACCTTGTGATCCACAGTCCGGTGACATATCCACTCGACCACGACACCTCTACTATGCAAGGGTCGTGGGTTCGACCCCTGGCACGGCACATGTGGTCTACATCCAGCCCCGTCTACTATACACATGGTCTAATAATCATTTCGTATAGCTAATAGCCATTTGGACTAAATTCCATTTGGTCTAGATTCCATTTGGTCTAATATCCAAGTAATCTACCAACCACTTGGTCCATTGCCCATTAAGTCTAGTTCCCAGTCGGTCGAATTCCAAGTTTAAGTAATGCTGTCCAGTTTGTTTTCTATCCATGATATATTATAATCATTTGAAAATTGTTATTATTTATGATTAGACGATTATTAACCTATATGGATAATAGACGACATTCATCGTTATATGTATAACCCCCCCCCCGCCCACACACACACGCACACACATACACCTGTCTTTACAAAATCCTGGACCTTAACCTTTATAATAGAAGAGACAGTGGCGTAGTATTAGTATAGCCATAAAGAAGGCTCTGGTACCATCGGGGACTCCGACCTCCCACGAAAAGTTATATATTTGATTTACAAGCTTTCTGGTTAAGGGGAGGGGCGGGTCGGGTCCTATCATCTTGCTCGTCAAGTGCTTTTCCTAATTTTTCTCTTTATTGTCTCCTTTCTTTTGTCTTTTGCCTATGTTCGTGTTTAAAGGGGCACTTGCTCCCCTGTGTCTACTGGGCCCCCATTAGCTACGCCACTATTACGGTAGTAATTGTAGGGGTATAGCATTGTTATGTTACATGCATGTTCATTTAAGTATTTGATGTCACCTGTGCCTGGCACGGGAAAAGCAAACTGAATCACTGTTACCCTCGAGTCTCTCCTTCAGATATAACTGATTGGGGGACCATTACAACGGGGGTTCCCCTACACTTATCTGATTAGTGCAGTGGGCTCTTCAGAGGTGGTGACTGCCCTCCACACAGGGCCTCCGTTTAATTTCCTATGCAAGTCCCTTGCATAGGAAATTAAACGGAGGTGTGTTTTCCATTGTAATATAGCCTAAATCTTTGAAACAGGGGAGGGGTACGTCAACACACAACGCAGACTTCAGTCATCCACCTGGGTTAAATTTGACAGGCAGATGCTTTACTAACTGAGCCAACTTGCCTGTTCCTTCTTCTTTCGATCCCATCGTACACTTTAGGATCTGCATGCGATCCGATTTTCAAAGAAATTGCAATTATATTATTTATGGGAATCTAATCAAACATCTTCTTCCTGATTATGGTTCTAAATAATGATAAGAATAGTAATAACCGGAAATGGAGTGCATTTAAGCCTTCTAGATAGAATAAAAACCTAATCGGCTTCAGATTCTCCACAAACTTCTATCGGTCTTACATCACGACGATTCTCAGCAGACTCAGAATTTCCTCATCCAAGGAAGCTTGAAATCCATTGAAAATGAAATCACTTTAATCATACGACTATTTAGATCAACAATCATTAATATTTTAGAAGTTTGAATGCTCGTTTCAAATGGCACTGCAAATAATTCCAAAATCGAAATCGTACTCAGATTGCAGTCAGGTCGTAGCTAGGTCGTATAGTGTGCGGTGGGGTTTATACTCACCGTGTTCTATGCAGTACGTGACGAGTTCCTTGTCACCGCACTTGACCGCCTCATGGATCACGCATTGCTGGTTTGCGTTTCGAGCTAACAAAATCTGTTTTTACAACAAAAGCACAATATTTTCACATGTGAATAAGAATAATAATGATTTTTTTTTTAATACACGAAAGGAAGGGTTGGGTTGGGTTGTCAAGTCTCCCCCACCACCCTCCCGGAACAAAATGCGAGGCACATGTAGAAAATGAAAGCAAGAGTCCTAATTATATATAATTAATTATCAATTAATTATCAATTATACTTGGTAATGCATGGGACATGCCCTGTAGTTACCCCTTGATCATATATTGTCAGGTGTAACTTATTTGCTTGGCAGATTGCTTTATAAAACGGCAAAAAGACAATAAATCCATTAACATGAATTATCAAAGCAAATCAAATTTAGTGCAAAAAAACTCTAACCTTTGGCATGTCGTGTCCGTTCTTTTTGCAAATTTCAAGGAATCGAAGGGCATGTTTCACTTGCTTTTTCCTAAGTATGATGTGAAGGGGTGTATCTTCTCCTACCCTATCCTTTGCCAGAGGATCGGCACCGTGCTTGAGTAGCAGCATGGCATTTTCAAACTGATCGTTCTGGCATGTGATGTGGAAAAGGGGTGAAGTTACTATTCCGGACTTTGCTTCTTGCTAGAAAGGAAGATGAATAACGAAGAAAGTTAATTAATATATAATCTAATATTGCTTAACTTCTACGCAATCCATGGTTTATGATAATAATGAATAATGAATTTGTCGGCTTTTCCGAAAAAAGACATTTGTCTATCTATGTCCAATAGCTTGGAGGTCGTTGGGGCGACAATCAGATGGACCTTGAGACACATGTTCTTCAATCCTTATGCTCATAAGTTCTACCAGTTAGTTGCTCAAATGAAATTACCGTCCAGTGCAATCTATGTCCTATTGTTATTATGTTTCTGCCACTCTTTCTCCTCCCTTTAGTCCTTCCTTGCAATTAAGCTGAAAGACACATCAGTATTCATTAAAAGCTACTACCTGACTCTTCCGCGTTGCGGGCCCTGCTATTGTTAATACCCTATCATCGCCAGGTACCCATTTACATTTGTGTCGAGAGGCACCAATGTGGGCAGTACGCGTTGTCCAGGGATGTAAACCCAGAGTAAGGATCGAACCCTGGAACCTTTGTTTGAGAGTCAGGAGCCTTTACCAATAAACCACAGTGATTTATCACGAGGTATTAGCATAGTATTTTTTTTGTAACCCTCCTGTCATCTTAGGAAAACTATCGTCACACCATGAAGAGGATATAACTTTTCTTTAAGTCTGAAAGGAATTAGCCGTATTTTGCTTGAATTGAATTTAATAAACTTTTGACAAACGTACTCGAGAAATATGAAGACAGAGAAAAGAGGAAAATTGTTCATATGGACAAAACTATATTTCAAAACGTTCACAACAGATGGTTTTAGAAGAAACTGAATTCAAGGGAACTGAAATGTATCTCACCCCAAGAACCATATTGATTTTTTTTTGTGGTTCATTTACACCTTTTACACTTTAATGTAATTAGAACACGCTCTAATTACATGTTATTTAGGTGACATATTTTTTTGGTATTAATTCGTTTAATTCATTTCATCGGCTTAAGATAATTTAACCAAAAGAACATTATCATTTTGCTTATAAAGTAGGGCTCTGATCTATACTTACATTTACATCAATTTTTCTGTGTGATAGTAGGGCACGGGTGACCTCGCATTGACCTTTGACGTCACAAGTTAACTGTAATGGTGTATGGCCATGTTTGTCTTTCTCGTCTGCAATCACCTGTTCCTTTACTAATAGTTCCACCACTTTTACTTTGTCTGTAACCTGGTAATAAGTTCAATTAAAACAATTTACACTTTAAGGAGGGAATTTATTTTGAGGGCTTAATTGATCAAATGTTGTCTTTCAAAGTGGCAACAATAACATTTCTCTTTTATTGCTACATTCATCTTATCGTCCTTGTTTTCACGAAGTGACGGTAGTGAAGAAAATCGTCACGCAAAGTGAACGCAATTTTTTTTCACTACCGTCACTTCGTGAAAACAGCGACGTTATGTTGCTAAATTCACAAAATAAAATTTGATAAATCTAAAAGCAACGTTATAAGTATAGGAACATGGTCAAATCGTAATGTATGAACTTCGCATAGTGACTATTAAAATACAATTTTGAAACAGGCGAATGAAATAATATGTAACCAGGCACTTCACCAAGATTAATGCATTAAGTTTGATTACATTACAAAATTAGTCTAGTCATGGAGTTCGAAATATTTCCCACGCATAGAGATTGTTGGAGGAAGGGAGCTCTTTGTAGCTCCAATGACAATGACGATGACAATGACAATTTTTTCCCATTTATGTCCATGAATTGACATTTGATCGGGTACGCGTGCGCGTGTCACAACTGTCTATCTCAGTACGCTATGGGGCCAACTCTCCTTAACTTCGGCATAAAGATAGGTGAATCAGATACAACTCGGGCCCTCTGCCATACATGAAACATATAGCGTTTAGTCTCCTTTGACAACGCCCCCTATCGTCAGAGTCAGCAGCCTAACATGTAAGCTTACTGACTTTTACACCCAAAAAAAAATCGTTAAAAATTCATTTTTGTTTAAACGAAAAGCACATCCACCCCGACATACGTTGACACTAGCTCTTTCATTGGAACCCTCATGTCCCATTGACTTTTGAAAGTTCACCCACCGTAATTTGGTCAAAATAGGTCGCTAGCTCGCCATTGCCTATATAACACATGTGAAACAAGTCGAACTTTGGACGCAATTTGCCACGGGATTGTAAGGTTATAGCTCAAGCAAACGAAGGATAATAAGCATGAATTATCATAGATCAGTTCTGATCAGTTCATTATGTCCATTTCATCCATCCCCCCACCGTCATTTTTTCCATTTAGTATAGCCAAGCATTTTACCGAGGTAAGCAAAAACATGAATATTCATGATCACCATGGACTATTCGATTATTTACAGAGGGGTGCAATTTTGCACCACATTAACTCCCCTACTTTAAGTCAAGTATTTCATTGTATTATGTAGTTTGGTAGGTTTATTTTAATAACTGTTTAATTATCAGAGATCAATGATAGTTTAAAGATATGGAAAATGTTCTTGTGTTTTATATTTAGCAAAGCAATCTCACATACAAACTCTCTACCAAGTCTCGTCTAATTTGCCGATTGCCGTCTGCTATATACGTCCAGCGAGCGAAATGAGACAACCGGAGCAATATGCAAAGAGCAAATGCTATTCATTGTATTATGTAGTTTGGTAGGTTTATTTTAATAACTGTTTAATTATCAGAGATCAATGATAGTTTAAAGATATGGAAAATGTTCTTGTGTTTTATATTTAGCAAAGCAATCTCACATACAAACTCACTACCAAGTCTCGTCTAATCCGCCGATTGCCGTCTGCTATATACGTCCAGCGAGCGAAATGAGACAACCGGAGCAATATGCAAAGAGCAAATGTGCGCTTAAAGGCAAATCAAAAACAGTGAGTCCTAAATACACGATCCTGATTTCGCTTGGAAATCAAGTTGCGTTTAATTTAAACTGGTTATTGCAAAAGATCCGGCCTAGGTCTGTATAAATGACAAAAAACTTACTTGGCTGACGTTTTTGGCTTCCCCTTTGACTGTGAAATGTATAGGTCTTTGTCCATCTTTGCCTTCCACATTAAGATCTAGGAATGAAAAGTGATATCAATTTGTTATAAGTTGTATCTCCAGACCTTCTCCACATAATAGTGCACTTTCTCCCCTACACAGGGAGCATTCCGTTTAGTCACCTTTATGCGGTGGTCACATCCCGCCGTACTTGCAAGTGCGTGCTGTCTACGTGCAAAAACGTGTGCAAAATTTGGGTATCCGTACGTGGTGAGTACCGCCTCCGTACGGATTTGGGAGCACGCAGACACACCGTAGCACTTTTAGTGCACGAGGAACTTTCGCTGCGTTCGGTCTACGGTCGGGCTACCGATTCACCCCAGTACGTGTGACGTGCGTGCCCGGTACTGCCAACGAGCGCACAACGCACTGACTCCGTGCGTCTTTTAAATTTGTTTCCCACGGTCACTTGCTCTACGGAAGGCGCACTTAGCACGTGCGTGCTGCGCACGTGATAAGTGCGCGGTCCGTGCTTACTCGCCACTTCCCCAGTTCAACTGTCCAATGAGCACGCAGAACTCAAGTGGACCGTACCGAGTAAGCACGTGCTCCGCACTTACAACGCACGTGGTGCGCACTGATTTGTGCAGTATACAGTCTCTGCAGTGGAATGGTTAGAATCTTGAGGCAGCAGCAGCTGGGAGTTCTGGAGAACATTGGAATGTCATCCTATATATACCCCGAAATCGGGCGGAAAAACTCACCGAGTTCATCGCACGTGCACGCACTTACAACGTGCGAGTGAGTAAGGACAGCGTACGTGAGCAGTATGTGTAATTACGGCCTCCGTTCGATAACGTGGCAACCACGCGGAGACCGTACGTTGTAAGCACGTATAACGTACTTACCACGTGCGCAACGTACGATGCACGCAACCGCTCATGACCAGGCGTGGCGTGCGGGCCGCGAATTTTTTTTCCGTACTCGAGAGAGCAAAAATCCCATGTGCGCATGCGCGTGGACTTATGATTTCTCTGCTACTTCCCATACGAAATGTGTATGTATTCGCATGTACTGTGCACGATTCGCGTTCTACGAGTAAACGATGGCATAGTAGTCTTCAAACACAGACTCTGATTTGCCAGTTTGACAAATCAATATGCGTATGTGTCGCGATGTGCTTATTCAAGTCTGTGTAGTTGTATGATTCAGACCCAGTAGTGCATATGGAAATACATTGCAACTTGTATAGAATGGTATAGTAGTCTGCAAGCACAGACGCTAATCTGACAGTTTGACAACATACTAGTAGTGTGCTGAGAAGTACTTTATTCAAGTCGCCAACTTGTATAGAATGGTATAGTAGTCTGCAAGCACAGACGCTAATCTGACAGTTTGACAACATACTAGTAGTGTGCTGAGAAGTACTTTATTCAAGTCTGCGTAGATGTATGATTCAGACCCTGGATGCATTTCTGTAAGCACTAAAATGTCTGAATCATACAACTACTCAGACTTGAATACTAGTACTATTGCTACGCACGATATATGCGTAATTGTTTTGTCAAACTGGCAAATCAGAGTCTGTGTTTGAAGACTACTATGCCATCGTTTACTCGTAGAACGCGAATCGTGCACAGTACATGCGAATACATGTACATTTCGTATGGGAAGTAGCAGACAAATCACAAGTCCACGCGCATGCGCACATGGGGTATTTGCCCTCTCGAGTACGGAAAAAAAATTCGCGTGCGGGCCACGTACTTACACCATGCGTGTGACGTGCGTTTCCGGTACTCCCTCCCTGCCTTTGCCACTCCCTCCCTACGTTTTCAGAAAAACGTGGCGGCCGTGGCCTCCCCCAAAACTGTACGGACTAAAAACACGCACGGTGGGATGTGACCAACGCTTTACACGGGCGCGCTCATGCTAACCCATCATTGCAAGTCACCTTTGCATATTTCGTATTCTATTTCGTATTCTTTGTTTCCTTTATTGAAAAGGCTCCATTTGTTTCTACTCCATCATACAACACAGAGCTACGTGCACATCCACCATTCGCTAAGCACACACGCACGCACACAACACACGCACAATCTCATACACGTAGATCGTATGAACACATTTTCAGTTTAAGAATTTCCTATTCGCCGTCATAGTCAAGCATAGTTTTGATAATACTATGAATTTATATTACTATGTTATAGAAATATTAAGTTTCGTTATTATATGTATCAATGTAAGTAACATTTCGAAATGAAGTGATTATTGTTTGTATATTTTGTATGATACCTCATGTGTGTATGTTCTTTGTTATTCAGTTATTATTTTTTGGAACAAATGCAGAAATAAAATCAAAATCACATCAACCACAATGACTTTGACATCCTACAGGTAACAACAGCTTAACACAGGGATGGAGAGAAACAATGTAGATAAAATGCCTTCCTCAAGGTCATAAGTGCCGTGCAGGGCTCGAACCAAAGACCTTTGCATTTCAAATCAAGTGATTAAACCACTCAACTACAACACCTATACAGCCCCACCTCAAGAGAAACCAATATTGGATCAGCCACTGGCCAGTATTTAACTTTATATTTATTGAGATAGGCTTTTAATAGTTTCACTAATGTACGAACTTGTTAAGTTACGTTTTACCGGTTACATGTCGCTTTTTCGATAGTTCATAATTTCTAAGGTTCGCTACTCCGAAGGTTCACAAAGGAAGGTTCGTAATTTGCAAGGCTCGCATTTACGAACATTTAATAGAGTTCGTTAATCGGAAAAAGAGGAAATAAGGTTCAATATGCAGGAGGTTCATATTTTCCAAAATGACAGGGAAAACTATTTTCGGAAGTATGGACCTTGGAAAAAATTAAATATTTATTTATTTATTCAAGAAATATACTTATTTATACTATTGAAGCCGATTCACTTTCGAAATTATGAATCCCCTGGTATGGGAAATTTGTGTTCTGGAATGACGAACTTTCGGAAAAATGAACCTTCGGGAACAAGAAGAACCTATCCTTAAGAAAAGGAACCTACGGAAAACCAAGCCTTCGGAAAACTCGTGTTTCTCTATTTACCTGCTCCTTTGACTATGAGAAGTTCTACCCAGGGTACGAGTGCCTTGGCACAGGCATAGTGGATCACACTGTTTCCTCTTGAGTCCTTCTGCTCTATCGCTTGACTAATGTCATCAGGGGTGCGGTCTGAAAGGAGGTGCTTGGCCTCATCTATGCTGGGGTTTTCGGCTTTCACGAGCTATGATCAACAGAATGATAATAACAATTATGATGATAACAATAATAATATTGATAATGATAATAATAATAATAATAAAATGATAAGAATATTGATAATAAGGATGATTATACTAAACATAAAAATGGATAGTAATGATAATTATAATAATAAGGATTATCTGATAACAATATGCGTTATAATAATAATGATGATAAAGAAAATAGGGATAATAATAGTATTAACTATAATACTAACAATACTAATAATAATAATACTTATAATAATAATAATGGTATATTTAATCGACACATTGAAATTAAATGCGCTTTACGATAGTGTTATTAGCAGAAAAAGGGATTGGTTTTGAGATGGTTTTGAAGGTGTTGAGTTATTGCTAGTTATGAGGAACACTGGGTAGTTATTTAATAGTTTTGGCGCAGCAGTTGTGAATGCTCTGTGTGTGCGTGTGCGTGTTGATGTATGTGAGTACGTGTGAAATAATTCGGCACTGCGTTATCTAAAGCTTTTAAAGTGACTTTCTGGTTCTAGTATTGTTTTTTGTTTTAAGGTTGTTGATGTTGTTTTGTTTTTGCTGCTGTATTATTGTGTCGTTTGTTTGTTATTGTTGTTGTTGTTATTGTTACAGCTGTCGATGTTCCAACGTCGTTTAGGTTCCGTCATGATTTGTTTTGTTTTGTTCTGTTATGTTAAAGTTGAGCTGTCGTCGCCGTCGTTGTTCATTCAGCCTCCTGTCTTGCCCTGTCCTGTGCTGGTAAGGGTGAGGACCAACTAAAAGGCAGTCACACCAAGACGTCATTTTGCTTGAGGCAGGACTGCGTCAGCGAATGACACGGTATGATACGCGTAACTATTAACACAACCGAGGTATGAAATTTTCTTGTCCAATAACACACGAAATCGATTTTACACGTGACGTCTATTCAATTGAAAAAATTACATTAAAACTCAAAAGTCTGTTTGGAGTCGATTAGGAATCGGTTTATCGATGTGACTAACCACGCATTGTGTATCCAGACCGGTTTAGTATCCGGACAAATGATTTCATTAAATATTTCAGGAACCTTTATATTGGTCAATATCATCAATAACGGAGAGAGAAGAGAGGGCGCTATCGACACCTAGACGTTTTTTTTCGCATCCTCTAGCTTAACCCAAGTCAAAATCCGGAAATATCAACACTAATGTTTAACATCATATTGTATCCGAAGAGTAAGACTAAACTTGAACCATAATTACGTTGTAATATGCCATTTTTTTAAAGTGATTTTAGTTGAAGAAAGTAAGATAAATAAAGGAAGATGTCTAATAGACAAACCACACCTTAAACAAACAGGCCGCTGTATTTACCTAAAGGGCCTAAGCCCGTCTTTCTCAGATGTGAAGACGTCAGGAATGAAGATACTTAACCACTCACTGGTGAGGAGTTATATATTGCTTTAGTCAAGATTGTTAGTCCAACAAATATCATTTGCATAAAACAAATCAGCCACTTGTGGCAGATTTATCTGGAAAAGCAATCTGATAGTATGAAATTGATCACAACCGGATTAGAGATCAGAGGAGCTGCCGCCCTAATACACGACATTAACCCATTCACCAAGGCCCGAGAAGAAAATCATGTGATAGTTTTAATCAAAGATGTGGAAAGGTGTGGAACGGATCAGAAAAAGTTGATCATGTAGCATGTAAGTACTGGTATGTACTGCAAGGTTCTGGAGTCATCAAAACCATAATAAATTTGGCCCAGTCTTGGTAAAGTAATAAGCATTGTACACAGAAAGATATATATGGGACTACATAATAGTTGTCAAATCGACTTAGGAGCTATAGAGCCAATAATTAGTAGTCTTGATTTTCAGACCATTGTACCGAATGGTCATACGTTTTCTGCTGCGCAAAGATTCAATCAGTTTAATTTTGGCCATCACAAGAAGTGGGTTATTGATGTAGACAAATGCTCATGTACCCTATACAGCTCATGTTACGTAGGTTATTACCAAAGAAGAAAAAAGCCAGTCAGTCACTCAATAGTGTCTGACAGTGAATTCTAGCAAGTAAATGGTTTTTTGGCATAGTTCGAATATTAGGAAACTGCTAACGTTTAAATTTCACAGATAGGACATAGTATATTCCTAATTCCTACAAAGTTCTACATAATTTGATGTTGGCTGCAAATTTTTTTTTAAAGGAGATGGAAGACCGATAATTGTGGAATTCTCATGTAACATAAAAACATGTTTTTGTGTACATGTATATACACAAGCGAAAGGTATAACAAAGAAAACATTCCATAAATCACTTGACTAATGGATAAAACATCTTAGGCCCGATAGTAGTATTATGATTGCAGGTGGTGACTGGAATTGTGTGCAGAACAGAACACTCGCTACTTACGGGATATCTCGTGCATTTTACCAAAAAAGTATTACAAAAATGTCCAAACCAAAAAAAAGGGTTAAGATATTTGGAGGAATTTTCTTCCAGAAGAGACAGTTATCTTTAAAAAAAAATGATCTCGTCTGTACTATTGTTTAATAAAAAACAAATATGGTATTGAATTTACAAAAAAACAATATCACATCTAGGCGTGCATGTTGGTAAAAAATATGTTAGCAATATAAACTGAGAGGGGAAGTTGAAAAAAATGTATAATATTTTCAAGACGTGGAACATGAGAAGACTGACTTGTTATGGTAAAATAATAATTATACAACGTTTGATAATTCCTCAGCTCGTCTATGTAGGCACGACTGTGTCAATGCCTACTCATATATACATGGCTTTACATAGGACTATATATTCATTTATATGGAATTCTAGACGTAAACAAGTAAAATGGAATGTTTGCATCAAGTCAGGAAGAGAAAGGGGGCTTAGTACGGTTGAATTGAATTTGAAAGCTAATTCACTTAGATTATCTTGGATATATAAGTTTTCTTATGGAGATGATGCAATGTGGAAGACATTATTTCATTTTGAACTAAAAAAGTTGGCGGGATGCCATTATATTTTCAGTATAATTGTCATATTAAACACATGAAAAAGATATTAAAAAAAAGAAATATACCAATGTTTTATATGGATATCCTTTGCACAAGGTCGGAAATTCGTTACATTGTTTGATGTAAAATATATTCCCAATGAGTTATTTTGAAATAATAGTAATATTGTAATTGATTAAAAAAAACTCTGTATTTCCCGTCGTTGATAAAAGAAAGAATTTTTCAAATTAAAATTGTTATAAATCAAGGTACATGGATAGATAACTCTTTAGTTCATAAAGATTTTGATATAAAGAATGTGCTGTTTTTTATTAAAAATGTCAAAATTTAAAAAAGCATTCCCAAAATATTGGTTTCAAAATTAACGTTGAAACAAAGTTTCAAATCTTAATGTAACACCTATTAATTGAGACAACTAAAGATGTTATAAACGTTGAATGTACAAAAGCGAAAAGTTACAATAGTTTAATGCTAGACAAAAAAGAAGAAAAGTTGGTTTCTATTTTCGGCAAAATATTTTAGGCCTAAAGGAAAAAATTGTTTGGAAAGATACTCTTAAGTTAAAATTTAATAAGACAAGAGACAATTACATGTATATCAAACCACATAATATCAAATTAGTTCATAGGGAATTTCCCTCTAAAGTTAAAGGTATGACAAAGTTTTGGTATGGGGTCATGGATTTGGTTCAGATTAACATATTGGAAGCATATGCGTTCCTACAATATTCATTGATCGTTGTCGCGGTTGAAATCGAGTCTAAAGTTATGAAATTATAAATAATAAACTTTTTATGTTGTATAGCTCCCTCTCAAGGTTAAGATATTAATTTAGCTATGAAACAATGTTTCTTGACTAAAATAGACCGATTTGCTATTTCCGTTTGGAAATTATATTTCACAACAACATATTATGAGATTTGCATGGTCGAAGCTACCATTGTACGGCCATAGGCGCTATTTGAAATTTATCAAAATTTACCGGGAGCACCGGTAAATTTTTATATTAAATATTTCTCGAAAACAGAAGTGTTTTAGGGGCTAATTTTTTTAGTGCTTATAATACATCCACAGGGGCATCTAAATATATCAAAATTATAAAGATTCACTATCCACTCAATTTTCAAAATTTCCCAAAACGTTATATTACCTTTAATCTCTTAAAGGTACTATGTCCCTTTTGCAGCCAACCTCTAATTCTGTAGAACTTATGCGGGAATTATGAATATGTCATGTATGTTCTATCTGTGAAATTTAACGTTAGCAGTGTCCTCATATTCAAATTATGCAAGGAAACCCGTTTACTTGCTAGACTTCACTGTCAGACACTATTAAGTGACTGACTGGCTTTTTTTTCTTCTTTGGTAATAACATACATGGAAAGAGATGTAAAGGGTACATGAGCATTTGTCTACATCAATAACCCACTCCTTGTGATGGCCAAGATTAAACTGATTGAATCTTTGCGCAGCATAAAACGTATGACCATTCGGTACAATTGTCTGAAAATCAAGACTATTACTTTTGGGCTCTATAGCCCTAAAGTCGATTTGACAACTAATAGTCATTATTTTCCCACTTGAAGACATTTTCAAGCCCCAATTTTTTTAGGGAAGTTCTAAATTAGTATTATCTTTCAAATGCAGTTGGAATTTAACTTTTTCATATTTTGGGTCTGCAAATGGGACATAGTACCTTTAACATGGAAAATCGTACAGTGTAACAAATGTAAAATTTGTCGTGAAAAAGAAACTATTTAGCACTTTATATTTCATTGCAAGATGGCAAGAGTATTCTGGAAAATCATCTCAAGAATATGTTATTTTTTAAACAGAAACTGAAGTTGATATGAAAATGTAATTGATTGGATATACAATAGATAACAAAAAATTTACTTTACTTAATTTCTGGATAAATTATTTACAATTTGTTATATAGAGGAATTACGTAAAGCGGAATTTTGAGGAAGTACAAACTAATCCAAAGAGGTTACTAAATAATAGTATTTCATCATTGAAATATTATTTGAAATACCCAGAAAATATAAAATACCATATTGCTCCGGTTGTCTCATTTTGCCAGCACAAAAGTAGCTAGTTCGCGTATATAGCAGACGTCAATCGGCGGATCAGACGACACTTGATAGTCACTGTGATTTTGTATGTGAGATTACTTTGCTAAATATAAAATACAAGAACCTTTTCCATATCTTGTAACTATCATTGATATCTGATAATTAAAAAGTTAGTAAAATAAACCTACCAAACTACATAATACAATGAAATACTCGACTGAAAGTAGGGGAGTTTGATGTGGTGCACAATTGCACCCTCTGTTAATAATCGAATAGTCCATGGTGTTCATGAATATTCATGTTTTTACTTACCTCGGCAAATGCTTGCCTATACTAAATGGAAAAATTACGGTGGGGGTTGGGTGAAATGGACATAATGAACAAATCAGAACTGATCTATGATAATTCATGCTTGTTATCCTTCGCGTGCTTGACTTATAACCTTACATTCGAGTGGTAAATTGCGTCCAAAGTTCGACTTGCTGCACATGTGTTATATAGGCATTGGCGAGCTGCCGACCTATTTTGACCAAATTACGGTGGGTAAACTTTCAAAAGTCAATGGGACATGAGGGTTCCAATGAAAGAGCTAGTGATAACGTACGTCGGGGTGGATGTGCTTTTCTTTTAAACAATTTTTTTTTTTTTTTTTTTTTAACGATTTTTTTTTGTGGGTAAAAGTCCATATGCTAACACGAGGTTAGGCTGCTGGACTCTGACGATAGGGGGCGTTGTCAAATGAGACTAAACGAAGCTATATGTTCGATAATGAACAAAGAATAGTTGAGCTTTGTTGCCGAGGGCGCTACACAAATTATTTTTGTGTGAGATAATGAAAAACTGAGAGTCAAATTTGAAAGAATATACAATTGAAATGACAAATTCATCTTTGTTTGCTCAAAATCGGTTCAGTGACGGCTGAAATGTTCCTAAATAACCATTTCTTATATTTGTGGTGCCCCATAAATATTCGGTAATTTTAAACCAGCCGTTGAAAAACGAGAAAGCTTTTTCGTGTTGGTTATAATACGCAAAACCAGCCAGCCCGTGTAATGTTATTATTAGGCAATTAATTAATTAATGGTCACCGTATTTTTTTTAAAGTAGAGCTGAATTGGTATGATCGTATTCAACCTAAATTCACACATGTTGGGGTCTAAAATTACCTTCATAGCAATTTCAAGTTCTTAAAGGGCACTAGAAATGTCATAAATAAGAATAAGAGCAATAACCCTGCACGTTGATATGTATTGATAATGTATTGGTTAATTTGTTTGCGTGTATGTGAAATCAGCTTAATGACAGGATAGACAATGGCTCACCTGTAGAAGCGACGAGGGTTTTTTTGTTTTTTGGGGTGCTGCCATCTGCGATCCGGACACCGACACAGATTCAAGCTCCCGTTCCTGGGATTCCCCATATGAACTACACTCGCCGCTACCAAAGTCGTTGGAGCCAGATCGGATTCCGCTCATCTTTTACGGTCACTGAAACATAAGTTTTTAAAAAGTCACATTTATAAATAACGTTAAAATATTATAGACAAGTCAACTAGATTAACTATGTTTTAGCTTGCGACGTTTACGTCATCTCCTGGATGTTTCATCAAGCCGACACGACGTCAAGGTTTGTATTTTGTCACTAAAGATTTTTTTTACTCTCACAAACAATGCCTCCTGTTCATCCAAGCGTGAACACATACCACACAAAAATTATACCAAATGATTTGAGATAAAATACTCTTTCATAAGATGTATAATAATTTACTGTTCATAAATAATTTTTTGAATAATTAGCAATTTTCTAGTTGTAAACTTTTTTTTGACTAACACGGTACTGAAAAAAGGAAAGGAGAAAAAACACATGTTTTTTAAATAATTTTATGTGTACGGGTAATTGAATGGGAACTGCTTGGAACTAAGGTCCTACGTGTATTCACGTATATTTAGGCTGTAAGATACTGAAATGTGAAGCATAGTACACATTTCAGCATCATTGAGAAAAAAACTGCAGCAGTTTCTCGTAGGTGGCGGCAAATGGTTGTTGACCGGTGTATTTTCAGTTCTTCATTAGTTACTTATGGGTTGAGAGGAAAGTAAAAAAAAAAGGGGGGGGGAATGCAGAGACAATTTGAGTTTGTTGATCACCTTTATGTTTCGAGAAAAAAGTTTACACATGTGATCAATATGTTTTTGTCCATGTTAATTTATTATTTATGGATATCTCAAGAAATTTCGTGCAATCAACACAAATAACAGAGAATATAATAACATTGTGGTTGGCCTATTTAGAGACCGAGATGATTTGTCGCGCCAATACCTAAATATAGATCAAAAAATATCATCGCTTTGCCTCACTGTGGATACAAAAATAAATTGCTTTGCCTAACTATGGATCCAAAGACATCATCGCTTTGCCTAACTATTGATCCACATACATCACCACTTTGCCGAACTATCGATTCAAAGATATCATCGGTTTGCCTAACTTTGGATCCCCAAATACCATCGCTTTGCCTAACTATATATGGATCCAAAAATATAATCGCTATGCCTCACTATGGTTCCATAGATATTATCGCTTTTCCTAGCTAGATAGATCCAAAGATATCATCGCTTTGCCTAACTATGGTTCCAAAGATATGATCGCTTTGCCTAACTATGGTTCCAAAGATATCATCGCTTTGCCTAACTATGGTTCCAAAGATATCATCGCTTTGCCTAACTGGTCCAGGGACTTGTTAGAGAAGGACTGGAATCAAGCGATACTCTTGTAATTTATTCAACGCATTCGTGAGTTCTAAAGCGTAACAATGGGATGTGTAACATTGCACTTGGCTTTGAAGTTCCATGCTCCGAACCGCGCTTCCACTGCGGGGACTTTTGGAAGCCAGGCACCATTTTTACATTTATTACAAAATATTAAATTACCGGCAAAATTTCAGTGTAAATCAAAAACTTTATATGGGGATTGTATTGGGAATAGTGCATCAAACAAATTTTCAAATTTAGAACTCCGTCCTTCCTATAATTTGTATGCTAGAGTTGGTAAAAGAAAAATTACATCCTGACAAAAACTCAATATTTTAGGATGATGCGCTAATTTGTGCATATTTTAATGTCCCGTTATTTGATCCATGATTTACAATCTTTAATAACATTAAGTTCGCTAATGCGTGTTTTTTGTATTTTTCAAGTTTAAAAAAGGTTGAAATTACACACGTTTGTGTTCGCTTGTTCTACTCTTTACACATTCAACAATGGATGAGAAATCATTGGAAGGGACAGCGAACAATTGCTGTGATACCATTTTCTGATGTAGGAATTATAAATCTTAAAATGTCATGTGCTCTCTTATTCTACCACCTGGTGAACAGTTGCAGATTAGCGCATAACTTTTCGGCGGTGTGGAGCATGGGGTCAAAGGAGAGCGGCTTGATTCCAGTCCTTGTCTATCAAGTCCCTGGCCTAACTATGGATCCAAAGATCGTCGCTTCTTCGGAAAGATCATGACGACTGACCACGTCTCATTGATTCTAATGTAATACCCATTGTGAGTTTGCGATCGATTGGAGGACTTGTAGTCAATCTGAAACAAGTGCATTTTTAAGGAGGGGGAATAGAGAGAGAGAGAGAGAGAGAGAGAGATAGAGAGAGAGAGAGAGAGAGAGAGAAAAAAGGTACAGCATACTAAGTTCGTAAGAGTTCAAGCAAGTACATTTCAACAAAAGGGTAGTACGCAGTTGAAGCAATGAAGGCCTGGCAAGCTTATCACGATAAGCCTATTGATATTTACAAAGGGAGAAACCTGATGAAGGTATCGATGCCCTATGGGGTCCAATAAAACTCGAACATAAAATTTAGATAAATCACAGGCAGTGTATTTCTAATTTATTATGTACTAAATAGGATAGTGACACTATAAAGTAACGAGTAAGTAATGAGTAAAAGGTAAGTTCTTGTTTCATTGATGAGTAAACCCAGACGTTGTGTGTCCGGACAGGATGTTGATCCGGACAGTTGATTGAAAACAGCGATTTGAAGAAGTTTATAAGCAATATTCCGTAAATTTTCTGAGAATTATGTTGGAATTTTATGAAAGACACACAACCATAATGGTTAGTCTTATTTGTTGTAAATCTTTCGTGTAATCCGTAGGCAAAAAAGAAGTCTTTTTGTTCGTGAACAAGCCTGTTGTGTTAAGCATGCCATCATGCACGGTCCATTGACCATGTATTGAGTAAATTCTTTGTAAGAAGGACCTAGATTTTTAAAATATTGTATACTTAGATTGAGAATAGGTGGAGGAACCTATAAAAGAATCAGAGCTTGTGAAGATATAAGTCCCATTTTAGGACAAAATCAAACTTGTATTCAAAAATGAAAAAAGGGTAAAATTACGAGTTTAGTGCAAAGAGAATGAGTGAAAAGGGAAGAGAATATGATAGAAATGGACGAAGGAGAAGGTTAAAAGGTGAAAGAACAGGAATGAGGAAGGGTAAGAGAGAGAAAGAAAATAAGAGAGAGAGAAAGAGAGAGAGAGAGAGACAGGGACAGGGTGCAGCATCCTAAGTTCGTAAGAGTTCAAGCAAGTACATTTTAACAAAAGGGTAGTACGCAGTTGTGACAATTAATGAAATCTTAATGAGTAAAGGGTAAGTTCAATCTAGTTTCATTGATGAGTAAACCCAGACATTGTGTGTCCGGACAGGTTGTGGATCCGGACAGTTGATTGAAAAACAGCGATTTGAAGAAGTTTACAAGCAATATTTCACAAATTTCAGGGAATTATGTTGAAAATTTACAAAGGAAAAACAGTCATAATGGTTAGTGCTATTCATAGGCGCCGGAAGTGGGGGGGGGGGGGCAGTCAAAAAATTGGGGGGGGGGGGGCAAAACGCATTTTGCCCCCCCCCCCCAAAAAAAAAAAAAAAAAAAAAAACGCCCCCCCCCCCCTCCAAAAAAAAAAAAAAAACAGTAAAGGAGTAAACATGGTTTGTATTTTTAATCCAAAAGAACGTAACAATAATAAAAACCTGAATTAAATCACATATACAATTCCATTCAAAGAAAAAGGAAAGTTCACAGGAATTGAATTTCATAAATTTGCGCATGCCAGCTATACGTACGGTATTTATCAATGGAGGTCTCTATAATAGCAATACGCGCATATCGTGGACATATTGTGCGAGAATGGGAAAGCGTGTCCGTTTTTTTTTGTTATAGGGGTGAGAAGACATGAGCCCCTGAACGCTGGCGTACTGATGGGGGGGGGGGGGGTAAGTCATGCAAAGTGGTTGGGCTCGAGCCCCCCCCCCCCCCTGCCCTCCTTTTTGAAAAAGTATGTTAAAGAGAAAAGGAAAGAAAGACGGGGGGAAAAAAGGTGACCTGCCAATGTCACAAATAAGGTATAAAAAATGCTCATCTGACCGTAATTAAATGCTTAAAAACCAAAGAGCTTACGGGGGCTCCGCCCCCGGACCCCACAAAGGGACCTAAGGCGGGCCCCTGGATGCTTATCTGACTGTTATTAAATACCTAAAACCCCTGAGCTTTCGGGGGCTCTGCCCCCTGGACCCCACCAAGGGCCCTAAGGCGGGCCCCTGGATGCTCATCTGACCGTTATTAAATACCTAAAACCCCTGAGCTTCCGGGGGCTCTGCCCCCAAGACCCCACCAGGGGCCCTAAGGCGGGCCCCTGGATGCTCATCTGCTCGTAATTAAATACCTAAAACCCCTGAGCTTCCAGGGGCTCTGCCCCCTGGACCACACCAAGGGCCCTAAGACGGCCCCTGCATGCTCATCTGACCGTAGTTAAATATTAAAAACCCTGAGCTTCCGGGGGCTCAGCCCCTTGACCCCCTACCGAGGCTCATGCCCTGGACCCCACGCCAATTTACGCTCTACCTGATCGATAATACTCCACTTTGAAAAACGTTCCGCGGGACCTGCATGTAACGTGTAAGACTGGTGGTGATGCAGATTCCCCCCCCCCCCTTCCGAATTTTTTTCTCATTACGTCACTGCCCCTCGAATGTGAGCCCCTGGAATGTTCCCCCCCCCCCCCCCCCCCCCCAATCCCAAAGTGCTTCCGGCGCGCCTGGTGCTATTTGATATATATTTTCCGTTAAAGGTATTACAAAGTTTTGGTATGGGGTCATGAATTTGGTTCAAATTAACATATTGGAAGCTTATGCGTTCTTACAGTATTCATTGATCGTTGTCGCGGTTGAAATCGAGTCTAAAGTTATGAAATTATAGATAATAAACTCTTTATGTTGTATAGCTCCCTCTCAAGGTCAAGATATTAATTTAGCTCTGAAACAAGGCTTCTTGACTAAAATCGACAGATTAGCTATTCCCGTTTGGAAATTATATATCACAACTACATACTCTGAGATTTTAATGGTCGCAGCTACCATTGTACAGTCATAGGCGCTATTTGAAATTTATCAAAATTTACCGGGAGCACCGGT